CAGCCGTTCCTGCGCTTCTTGGGTTGACCGGTTTCTGGCCAGGGTCTTGTCACCGCTGGATGGAGCGCAATTCTCGTGGTTCAGTGTCTTTTACCACAGTAGGATTGCGGTGAGGGATGAAATAACTCTCGCAATCACCTCCCGCATCAACAGACACGGCAAAGATACGCAGAAGACGGATGGCTGCTATTGTGCAAATGGGCGAATAATGGTATGCAGCTCGTATTCAGGATCCGAGCAGGGGCTGACTGCGCGGAACGTCAGATGTCCGTGCACTGCTGCCTGGAGTTGAACTCCACTTACTGGAGGAAGCGACGACAACCCGTTCCTTCCCTCTTGAACCACCTATCCCCCCAGCCCGCGCTGCTCGAGATCTCTTCTTGCTTCAAATCCTAATCCCTCAGGCCTCCCTCCTCGTCCTCTTTTTGCACCGCAGACCCGCCGCCCTTGTGCCTCTTTTGCCGCTCGCCGCCCGTCTTACTCCACGTGCTGCGCCTTCCTATATACCTGCACGTCTCCTCCGACACCAGACCAAAGGACTCAGCGCCCTTTCCTCGCTCGCTGCATCACCATCATCACCCTAGCCTATCAGCTGCTAGCTTCCGCGGCCGCAAAGGTTCCACTATCCCCGGTCAATGAAAACGTGATCTGGGCTCTGATAACCACTCACACTTGGTCTCTTTGGATCGCCGGGCTTGGGGAACTGTGCAGTCCGTGACTCACCTGAGGCCGCCTTTCCCACTTCAACCGGTACGACGACCAGTCATACTCAACATGTCTGCACCCCACGACCAGAACCGTCATCCCCGCCGCCGTCCTCTTAAGGGTTCCGCATCCCCTCTGAGCACCCATGGCATGCAGCTAAGGAAGAGCGGCACTTTCTCGTCGCCAACCCATATCTCGTCCGACATCTGCGAGGTGGACCGATTCTGCATGCCCCGCCGCTCGCCTACCAACACTGACCGGCTGGAAGAGCTAGTCAACGACTCCATCCAGGACCCTAACGTGCGTCGCGTCACCAACCTGCTCAAAGACTTCGAAGCGAGGGTCGCTGGCCATAAGAGCGCTGTCACCAGCTGTGACCTTCTCAACGATCCGGAGGTTCTTCCTGTCCCGAGCTTTGTCCTCGACGGCGCCCCATTGGATCACACCCCAATGGACATTGACCCAAAGCCTACTGCAGTTGGACGCAGCCCCCACGACCACGCTTCTGACAGCGGTCTGGGTTCCAGCATCAGTGGATCGAAATACGGTAAGGAACCACTGCAGCCACCCGTCTTGGATGAGAACGCCCCACATACTAACATATATAAAGACGAGATTCGCTCCCAGCGCTCGAGCGTCCGTGACTCCATTAGCACTTCTATCAGCTCGACGCATTCGGCTGTCACCAGGTCCTTCTCATCGCTCACCTTTTCAGAAGAGGACGTGCTCGGCGAGCACACGTGCAAGCAGATCCACGACTACATCATCAAGCCCATTCTCGCCGAGGAGTCTCTCAAGGACTTCCACTCCCTCGTCAAGGACGTGCCTCGACGCATAGGTGAGAAGAACATCCGCAACCTCCGTGACCTCGAGAAGACCCTCGTCTTCCTCGCACCGGTAAGTGGAATCACCCGTTGTCTTTCTCAAAGTGCAGAAGCTTATTGCATTTTTCGTGGTTTAAAGGAGCTGTCGGCTTCCCCGGACTCGTACTTCCGCTTTTGCCAACGATCAATCCAACTCTTGGCTACGACCGTCCAGTACATCTCCGAACAAGACCAGCGACTACCAACCGACCGCCCTTATACTGACGGCTACTTCCTCGATTTGATGGAACAGATTAGACGATACGCTTCAATCATGGCTGCTACAAGAGAAAAAGAAACCAAGGGTGAGGATCTGGACGAGATGGATTACTCACGGTATGACCGCGCCGCCGACTTTTTATTCGCCCGCGCTAATCAAAAACTCTATAGCGATGAGAAGATCACCCTCCGCGGTGGAATCAGCCACAACGGCCGTCCTGTCGAGCTCGTCCGGGAGAAGAACGGTAACGTCATCCCCATGTCAGTGGATGCCTCGAACGCCTTCAGGATCAAGCGTCGTCTGTCGGACGCCGACGAGGACAGCATGGACGAGGACGAAGTAACCCGATCCATGGCGCGACGACGGAAGTCCGAGAAACCCGGAGACGTGATGCACACTTGCCGTGACTGCAAGAAGGAGTTCAAGCGACCATGCGACCTGACCAAGCACGAGAAGACTCACTCTCGCCCATGGAAGTGCGACGAGAAGAACTGCAAGTACTTTGAACTCGGCTGGCCGACTGAGAAGGAGCGTGATAGGCACATGAACGACAAGCACTCTGCTGCCCCTGCTCAGTACAAGTGTCTCTACCACCCATGCACGTACGCTTCGAAGCGCGAGTCCAACTGCAAGCAGCACATGGAGAAGGCTCATGGCTGGGAATATGTTCGCTCCAAGAGCAACGGTCGCAAGAAGGGCGCTTCTGGCAGCGAGCACAGCCCCGCTACCCCTCTCACTCCCTTCATCGGTACACCCATGTCGGCGACCATGACTACACCTATCACACCATTCGCTGCTTCGCCTCAAGTGCCCATGATCGAGAACTTTAACTGCTATGGCTTCGGAACGCCGGCCATGAGTGCCCACGGTTACCAAGATGACTTCCGTCGTGACTCGATCACCACCGATGGCTCTCACTTCACATACTCGTCTGGACATTCGCCCGTTGAGCCCACATCCTTCGACGATGCTGTGACGCCAGAAGACACCCACATCAACCACAACGACATCTACAACGCCTGTGCACTGAACGCCAACTTCAACACGGGCTACCAGCAGCCAACCCCAATGAGCACAGCGTTCGACTTCGCGCCGCTGCCATTTGCGACGAATAACAACATGAACGGTCTGCCACATCTATCACCCATGGCTCAGCCTGACATCACCCTCTACTCACCAGACATGGATGAGGGCTTTGGCGGTGACATGGACATGACCATGCAAGGCTTCAGTCGCCCCGCCCAGGACTTCACGTTGTTCGACACTGCGCCACCCAGCCAGATGACGTTCAACCACACGGCCAACTTCTTTCCCGATTTCAACCAGGTTGGAGGCCAGTTCGACCCCCAATACATTGAGCCCACCACTACGTTGGATGATTTGAACTTTATGGGCTTCGGGAACCAGCAGTAATTCCCGCACTGCATTGTATACGATTAGCGGGCACTTGTATAGCCGTCTTTCACACCCGTACTTAAACAGAAGGAGTAATTTTCCATTGAGCCGGCGTCTGGACACTGGGTGTTTCTTTGAACAGCGATTCACGACTGTTATGACAAGAGGAGGAATTGAGAAGATATAATCGGGCACGCATGCATTTACGGCCTTGCTCTTCACTCTCTCTTTTCCCACACTGGGTGTGGGATAGCGCCTCGAACAGAACAGAAACTCCACAAAAAAACAAAGGATCTTTGTTTGTTTGCGCGGGTTTTCATTTCCCCCCTTCTTCTTTTATCTGGCGACTGATTTTGATCTCCCCCCTTCTCCTTCTTTGCGGACTGCCCATTTACGGAGTCTTAAGGCTGCGGTAGAGATCATCAGATACTGTAGGATAGATAGATAAATAAAACTGGTGGAAAGGAAGATCTTGTGTTTGCACATGTTGAGTGGTGATTGAATGCACGCAATACTAATCCATGTCTAATCGTACACAGCTTTTGATATCCTTGTAGGGACGGTCAAGGAGAGTCAATCACCCTCATCACTCTGCGCCCAAACTCCGCTCTCCACGGCCATAGACCGATGCGACCTCCTTGCGCCACTTCAAACCATTCCTCGTCAACTCAACCTTCACCTTCAGCTCCTCGCACCCCTCTTTAATCTCCCTCGCGATCTTCCTCTCTATGACCCGCATCGCCTCCTCCTCGACGGCCTTACTCCTCACACCAAACAGTACCAGCACCTTCAGCCCACGCAGACTCTCACGAAGGAGCCCGATGAACGCGGAGTTTACGCCGAAGCCAGGGAAGTAGATCTCGCGGAATGGGCACTTGAGCACGGCTATAGCGCTGATTTGTCGAGGGAGCAGTGTCTGCGCGATGTATTTGGAAAAGTCGGTGACAGAGCCGAAGGCGAAGGGTGTGGAGTTGAGGGCGATAAGATTGGTTTCCGTGTAGAGTTGGCGGCAGACTTGCAACAAAGCGAGCTGTTGTATAGTGATTTCGCTTCCACCATTCTGCCGCATACTCTTCTGGCGAGCGACATCGAAGGTGTGGAAGTCGCGGTGAGAGCTGAGAACCAAGTCGTAGATGGTGTTGCGGATCTCAGCTGGCAGACGGAGGAGAGGTGAGTTTTCAGCATTGTCTTCAGCAATGGCGAGCTTCTCGGGATCGGCGCTGAGTCGTAGCATGTCAGGCTCTTCTTCTTCTGAGACCCCGGTAGCTACTTGATCGTCTAAACCAACAGATTGCGTGGATTGGCATAGACGTCGGAGTCCAGTGTCCATGGTAGACTGGCCGATCCTTGAGGTAGTTGATGATTCGGAAGTGACTCTCACATCCGGAAGATCATCTGGAGTCTCGGCGGCGGCGGCGGCACGATGTCGCTGCATCGCAGCAACCTTGGCGACTATAGACATACTGGTGGATGGATGATGTGGTTGAAGTGGATGCGAATCTTGACTGACTTGCGGGAAGAGAGAGAGAGAGGGAGGGATAGAGAGAAGCGCAGTTCGTGGGAGATGAAGCCAGTTTTATCCTTGCGAGGTCAGCGGTGATTGAGCGGATGGGAATGCGCTACGGGTGAGGTAGGCGCTTGCTCTCACCCTGCTAGCAATCGTCATCCCATACACCCGCTCAGAGACCGACAGTCTTGTATGATGCATTTCAACAAAGAACGAAAATTAGACAGCAGATGGAACACGAATGAATGCTACAGTAAAGCTTCTGTAAGAGACATAAATATGTGTATACTCATTAATCCGTCTGATCAAATTAATCAACATCCTCCTCCGGTATCTCACCGCCCAACCCGTTCCCCAGCCCCTCCCCACTCCCATCAGCTTCACTCTCCTCCCCCACACACCCCAACCCCGCCTCAACCACCTCAAACCTCTCCAAAAGCCCAACATCCCACCCCTGAAACTTCTTCGCCGTCGGCGGCAACAACCTCTGACTTCTCTCCAACCCCTTCTCCAACTCTTCATACAGACCCGCCGGAAACTCCACATCCTCTATGGTAGCACTCTCCGGCTCACCCGGCTTCAAAGCCTGCCAAGTCTGTTTCTGGTAGAAGACTTTCATCGTGCGTGTAGGATCGAGACGGCCGGGCGTGGGTATGGAAGAGGAGAAGAGGAGGTCGGGGGTGAAGACCCAGATGAGGAGGGAGGGTATGGGGGTTTCTTGGGATTGGTCGGGTGGTGCGGCGGTGTGGATGTGAAACTTGCGGAGGCCGGTGTTTTCTATGAGGTGGAGGAGGCGGACTGATATCCATTTTTGGACTGTATGCGTAGTTGGCGACGATGGTGTGATTTTTGCAGATCGTATGCTGATGGCCCATTTTCGTATTCGCCAGCCGTCGGTTGAGGACTCGTGGGCGCCGATTGTGTGGTTGCAATGTTTGCATTGGATCAGATTTTGATCTGTGCCTTCGGGAGAAGAGGAGAGCTGCGTCATGTCAGCATGTGTGACACTAGACAACAGTAGGTGACAGTGTAATATGTAGCCTTGGCTAAACCTGCCAATCCCAAGGGTCTGAGGGTATAGAGACAGTGAAACGCCAGGCCGCTGACTCGATGGCGCCGGCAACCCATCAACCTGGGGAAGAGGGTACACCGGAACCGAGAGTACGTGTATGAGCCTATCAATCTAGGGCGCTTGTATCGACGATGAATGCCACTGATGAGGCGAGTTCGCCTTCTTTGCGCCCATACATGTTGCAACCTCATGAAGTGACGATGTAGGAACCGCACGACACGGTTGAAAGAAGGTTGTAGCTTACCTGTGCGCCTTCGCAATCCGACTCTGCCAGTAGAAAGCTGGCCAGATCAACGAAACCTACACCTCCCATAGCCTGCAGGCGATTACCAGCCGCATAACCCTTCTGACCGACAACATCATCGTGTGTGTGATCGTGCAAGTGATGCTCGTCCGGCTTATGGCAATGCCAAAAGTCCATCATCTCAGCCCAATTCTCATTAGGCAGGTCTCTCCACTGTTGAATCTTTCCTTTCGCTACAAGGATACTGTCGCAGCCCTTGCAGGTTATCTCCACGTCCTTTGCATCGTTGAGCGAAGCGCCGTCCCATGGTACAATGTTGGCCTGTCGGTCTTCGCGTTGCAGTGTCCCTAGAAGATCGCTTCCTTCCTTTTCTTCCAGCTGAAGACGGAGTGTTAACTCCTTCGTGGGAGGCTGTGACGGTAGTTCAAGCGCAGCGTCGCCTCCGCCTTTGACGTTGATAGGAAAACGTATTGACGCAGACTGGCCCTCATGAGAGACAGTGATGTAAGAGCCATCAGACGACAGCTTCGCGTCCGTCGACCGGGAGAAATTTGTGCGCAGCGATGCAAAAAGCGTGACCGTGCGTATATGCAGCAGAAGTTCGGCGTATAGCGTTATGGAAGTTTCGTTGGGCGACATGGGGCGCGCATTGTCTTCGTCACTCTGCAGGAGGTTCGGCGCGTGGATTTCGGTAGGTTCGGGCGCAGGCTTGGGATTCATCAGGTCTTTGATCGTTTCAGGAGAGAGGCCGAGAGCTTCGTATGCTGACTCGGGAAGTAGCGGGCGCGACATACTTCGTGATTGCGCGCCATGGTGACGGGTGGGGTGAACGTGGGGTTGGGGAGGTCGCTGAGCTACGCGCGCGACGAAGTTGACTTAATCGGGAGTGGGTCCCGCCTTGGGGAGGTTCTAGCTGCATCTGGCCACGACAGTGTGCATGTATTTACGAGAGTTTCTCTGAGTTGAGAACTATGAGCATCGTAGCAAAGCGCTTGCTTCATTACTTCAACATGTGCACTGAATATGTCGAGGGCATGTAATTACATTATCTACAAACACTATACACCTGCAGTATGGGAATAAATCGTCTTCGATAGCCTCTGCTCCTACGTTTGTATGAGTCTACTGACCCTTCTTCTCGCCAGCCTTCTTCTCCTGCTCCAAAATATACTGTACACCCCTCTTGATACCCTCATCCAAAGTAACAAGAGGTTCATATCCTAACCGCAGTCTCGCCTTGTTGATGCTGTGATACTTGGACATGCTGCTGTACTTAACCTGAGCCCTAGTCAGGTTAGGCTTCTTTCCCATGAGCCAAAAGAGGTTCTCTAGGATCGTTCCAACCGTCCACATGAACTCGGTACTGAGATGCCACACGCTGCTCAAAGGCGTCCGGTCGCCCGCCTCGTGCCATACCGCACGCGCAAAATCCCAGAAGTATACAGGTTGTCCGTTGGTGATGAGGAAGGCTTCGCCGTCGACACGCTCGTTGTCGAGTGGAATGCTGGGGAGGCGTTTGTGGGTATGGAGGAGCGCGATAGCAGCGAGCACGTGGCCGTATGCGACGTTCTCGACGTAGGTGAAGTCGAAAAGGTTGGTGTTCTCACCGACTTGGAACTTGGTTTGTCCTTTGCGGTATGCGCCAACCATCTTAGGGAGCAGTTGTACGTCGCCTTCACCGAAGATGCCAGCGGGACGGATGGCGCAGGTCAGGAAGTTTGGGGAGTTCTCAGGATGGCGGTTGGCTTGGAGGACGGCCGTCTCGGCGTATGCCTAGTATATCGTTAGCTTCTAAGACATAAAAATGCGACTGTATGCTCACCTTCGTGGTTGTGTAGTACTCAGGCTGGTCGTCGCCAGTAACAAGCGGCCATCTCTCGTCCGCGTTGACGAGATCGTTTACGTGGTCGAGGATAACACTCGCTGAGCTTGTGTACACGAAGCCCTTCACTCCAGACTCTTGCGCAGCCTGTAGCAGGACCTTGGTACCACCAACATTGACCTTGTCGTGAATCTCAGGCTTCAGATCAAAGTGTGGAGACGCTGTGTGGATGACGGCGTCGGGCTTGATCTGCGAGAACAGAGCCTTCATGGCAGGAGCATCCGTGATATCGCCATCGTGGTAGGAGACGTTCGGGCTGGCATTGCGATTCGAGTTGGTTCGTAGATCGAGCACGGCGATTTGTGTCTGGGGGTGACGCTTGACGATCAAGCTGACGATGTGGCTTCCTAGGAAACCGCAGCCTCCGACGACGAGGACTTTCCCGAGCGATTGGATAGTGTCTGAGTTGTTCGGCATGGTGGAGGATGGAGTGTCAGTGCAATTGGTGGTGCGACGATCAGGGATTGTTTTGCGGAGAGCGCTCGGGGGAACACTTTCCGGGGGCTTGGGTTAGCTTCAAGGTTCCCGCATGTCAGGGTCTCAACGGCCATACTCGCGCGTGCAGAAGCGCCGTACCCTGTACGAGAAGATGAACAGGTGCTCTACATCCTACAATAACATGGTAATACAAATATCAAACATGTGAGGGTAATGTACACTTCTGCATCGTTCCCAATCCCAACTAGACAAGGGACAAATTTCACAAGTTCAAGTCTAGCCTGCAGCCTGCAACAGCATAAAATATTGAGAAACATGAGTTCCAGAGACAATGTAGACATCTGGAACATGTGAAATCACTTCAATGAGACAAAATATCATTCGTATTTCATGACTAACGCCGTTACCCATGCTGTGCCCATAGCCCTGATGAACGAACGCCGTATAATGCAAGCCACCTCGCAAGGTCGGGCTTGGGGTATCATGTAATGTCATATCGAGAGGAAGACCGGCCGTGGGATCATAAGTTCGCAATCTCTAAAAGCAGTTCCTAGACGAATATTAGCAGATGCCGTTGCAGCGTCCACGAATAACACTCACTCAGCGCTATCCTGTGCGGATCGCCTCAATTTACGGTTGTAGAGCTTCTTTTCGTCTGGAGTGCCCCAGAACAGCTTCGCAGCCTCGGGATTGACGAGTGTGCGTGGGTCGTATGCAGGTGACTCCTCCTCGATAGCCGCAATGATGGCCTCAATATGTGAGCGCATGTCGTCCTTACGGGCAGCATCGTAGCAGAGTATGCCATCGGGCGATACGCGGTGGTGGTAGAGAACCGGTGTCTATCAAAATGTCAGCTTGTCTTGAGGAATACGTTATGAGGTAATTCGACAACAGCATCTCCATATAAGAACCGGGCGGATACATACTAGACATCAGTTAGCGGAGAAATCTCAAAAAGCACGCGTGATGGCTACGTTACCCTCAAATCTAACACGCGGTAGAACCTCTGGGAACTTGGGACTAATATATAGCATAATCCGGAACATGCCGCCGTCGAGATTCGTCATAGGTCTCCCGAACAGGACAAGCTGCCATACGAATGGGTTCTTATCGACAAGATCAAGATCCAGAGTAACGGCGTCTTGCTTCTTGTACTTCTCGATGATTTGCTCATATTGGCGCTGGAGGTTGTTGGCAATACTCATCTCTTTGCTAACAGCCATCATGCCCTCGGCGGCCCATGCCTCCATTTCCTTGTTGAGCGTCTCGAAGATCTTGACCAGGCGCTCGCGGAGCTGTGTGTACTGGAATGTGCCCTCCATCGCGTTGCCCGGGCCCTCGAACGGCATCTTCTCAAAGCGGTCCCCATCCTTGTTCTTCTTCACTGCCTCGTCCACGCGAGCTAGATATGATTGGTAGTACCATAGGAAGCGTCGCTTGCAGAGGTCCTTGAAGGGCTCGAAGGGCGCGTCGTCCCTGCTCGACTGGTAGTCCTCCTCCGCGTTGTAGACCGTTACGCCAGACCTCCCCCAATTGATGCCTAGGTATTCTTCCAGGCGATCGATGACGGATATGCGCAGCGACTCGTGTCGGATCTTGTCTACGTATGCCTCCTGGTTCTTCTTGTCGTAGTCCGAATTTGCGTCCTCGAAGCCAGGCTCATTTTCGTACGGGTTGCTCGACATAAGGCTCTGGATGGAGATGAGGATAGACTCGAGGCCCTGGGCAGACGACCATTCTTCACCACGCTCTCCTCGCCATGTACTGCATTCTGTTAGCATAGACTCAGCCTTGGAGGTATCTGATGCGTTTTGTCTCGTCTTTTGACAAATTAAACGTGTTCGTATGCTTCAGGGCTGCCGTGTTTTGTTTTACTTGAAGACAGCCTAGGGGCATTCGATACGTTTTGTGTTGTCTCTTGACAGAACATACACCCTCGTATGCTTCAAGGTCACTTACCCAAGAATCGATAGGCACACCTTGCCGCCCGCGTATATGTTGGGATTGAATCGCGTACGCCCACCATGGGTAGTTATAGCCGTGACACTCGGAGCCTTAGTAGGGTATTCGCGCGCAAACTTAACAGCGAACTCGAAGAAGCCGAACTCGTAGGGGGTGTCAGGTGGGCCTATGATTAGCGCCCGCACATGGCGCACGTCAATATCGCGGCAGGCAACGGCTATGGAGAGGTCGGAGCCGCGCTGGATCTCGCCGAGTTCGCGGGTGATTCTAAGAATGCTTTGGTTGGACATGATGGTGTGTCGAGGCCTCCCGGCAGCGGTTTGGATAGTTGAGATTCGCGGGGTTGGTGAAGCTCAACGGTCCGCGTTGGCCGGGCTGAGAATATTGAGCGGGTGTGGGTGCCGTGGTGTGGGGAGTCTTGAGGAGAAACAGTGGTAGGAGTGAGCGGGCCTCAACCGTGTGAATGGCCAAGCAAACACCGATGTGAGCTGTCAAAGGTGAGTGGGTAGTTGGCTGCGGTGTGCAACTAGCCCCTCCCAGGGTCCCACAGGGCGGAACGCGAGCCGCAACACCACGCCGCCGACAGTCGCGATAGTCTGTTCCTTGCGCACCGATCGTCAAGATGTAATAAGCAAGCCGAGTGTGTTCCTAGGTTGTCGGCTAACACTATAGTGTAGGGTGGTGTTCGCGCTGTTCGTCATCAGCAAGTCTGGCGGTCTCATCTACAATCGCGAGTTCCACGCGGGCATGAGCAAGCTCACCAGCAATGACTATCTCATGCTCGCTGGATCTTTTCATGGGTAAATCGCAATCTTCTGGGCGTATAAACTTCCACTGATGAGCGTCTAGAATGCACGCCATCACAGCGCAGCTCTCTCCAGTCCCACCCGTCCGCGCGCCGCCTCCCTCTACCACCACACCGAATCTCCAGATCTTCCCTGTCCGCGCAACCGGTATCGAGGTCCTCGAAAGCTCACACTTCCGCATCCAATGTTTCCAAACACAGACCGGTGTCAAATTCTTGCTCTTCACTGAGCCCCAGCAACCGAATGTCGATACTATGATGAAGAGGATATATGAATTGTATGCGGACTACGTCATGAAGAATCCGTTCTATACCGTTGAGATGCCGATTCGGTGCGAGAAGTTCGATCGGGGGCTGGATAGCTTTGTCAAAGTCAGAGGGGGTTGAGGAGGCCGTGTTGGGAATATGATACCACGAATCGGAATGAAGAGAAACAAAGCGGGACTCGTGTTGAACAGCACGAGGAGCGTTCTGCTGCGGCATGCATTGCCACTGGTTGCAGTTCGGGAGCACACTAGAGACTCTCGTACAAAGCTCCAGGGCATCACTCTTGGGTCCGTAACATGGATGACAGTGTCGGGTTTGGGGACGAAGAGAGACCACCCACTAGGGAAGTCAAGTTGTGAGAGATGTGCTGTAGAAGATAGTACTGTCTCCAGTACCTATCAATGTAGACTGATGTTCATTATTTGCTTCATTTCATCC